CTCATTTTACTCATAGCATCTTAACCTGCTTCCACTGGGAAATGGATTCTGTTGATCTAAATCATCTAAACCATGTGGCTGCTTTTCCCCACAGGGATGAGAGAAGTGAACATATCTGCATCTGAGGCACCTGAGAGCACGTTTGCAGCTAGGCTCTGATGTTGTGCATGGCTCAGCTGGGCAGCAGTGCCTTGCTCAAAGGGGTACTGGAGTGCCTGGACAGACAGGAAAACTCTGTGGGCAGGATAATGGATCCTGGGGTGGAATTGGTTCCCAAGTGGATGATGCACTCCCATGGTCCATCATCCACAGTCAGAAAGTGGCACAGCTGGCTGGCCTTTCCCTGTGTGTAGGGCTCAGCCCCAAGAATGGTTATTGCTTTATCTCAGATCCCATCATCTTGGCTTTTCTTCATCATCAAAATTCCAGTGCTGGTTTGTGATCCCACCTGAATCCCATCCCCAGGAATGTCTTCAAATTCACCAGAGGCATATTCCCAAGAGCAGAGTACAAATCCTCTTGGAAGGACAGCTCCTTGCTCACCTGATGCTCTTGTTTGGGGCTTGGTTCTGTTCCCATGTGCATCAGTGGTTCTTGTGGTGGTACCCAAACACAGGTCAGATGTGTTTGTGTATTATTCCTGGAGAAGAAGGGAAAAATAAGGAAAACTGTTATAATATGTGATATGTAGCATCCAATGTATAATCTCTAAGATGTGAAGCACACTCTGATTTCAGTTTATGAGGAACAAACAGTCCTTCAACTAAAATCTCTACCAACCCTTCTTATAAAGAAGGTGTAACACTGAAGTGCCTGATGAACAGCATTTGAAATGATGAAGTCGAGCTGCTGATGGGCACAGTGTGTGGATCTGTCTCTTCCAGATCAAGTGCCCTTTGGTGTGATCTGGCTGGCAGAGAGAGCCATGATGTGACAGAGGAGGATCAACTGGGTGTTGGCCTCCTGGGTGAGTAAAACCACGTAATTCAGGCCTCCTCTTCCAGTGATGCTGCTTGCTAATTAGGCTGTCAGTGGAGACCTTTGAGAGCTAAACAGAATAGACATAATCCTCCCTGCAAGGTAATTAAAAACATTTGCCCCTGGCTGATAACTGACCCACTGATTTCCTCGCGTTTGAGAAAGCTTTATAAAAAACTACTGAGCTGTTTGTGTAACAGGGCAGCCAATTGCACAGATGTTTCCTGTCCACTAATCTTTCAGAGTTGTGAGAAGATGTCACAGGAAGGAGAAACATGTTTGGAATTCTGAAAGCCTGTTTAGTTCATTTGTTTGTTTGTTTGTTTGTGTGATGGGGAAAAACTATCTCCAGATTATTTAAAAAAAACATAATAAACCACAGAAGTGTTCTGGTAGACCAGCAGGTCAGAGGGTAAAGGCAGAGCTTTAGTGATGCTGAATGTCAGGCTGGTGGTACCTATTATTCTGCCTCAACAGCTGCCAGTGTCACAGATTAGGACAGTGGCAAACCTAGAGCATGTTCTCCTCCCCAGGTCCTTCCCAGTGATAACATGGTGTGCCTGGAGCTGCAGCTGGTCTGTTGTGTTTGACAGGTCCAGCTGTGTCTGTGTTCTAGGTCTGAGCACATTAATACTGGTGCTGTCCACAGTAGAGTCCTGTGATTTTAATTACACAATGTACAAGGAGGTGTGTCCTTCATGGGTTTAAATCTTCTGCATAGCAATTTCACAGCTGCCTCTAGGAATGACAAATACTACATTTTTTTGCCTCCTTTTTGATGCTATAGATAGATAAACATTGCAGAAATTGGCCCCTGCCTCTTCTGCATTTCAGAGGCAGCACAGAACCATGAGCCGCTGAGGATCCTGACGTAGTGCAAACTTTCCCACAGACATGATGGCATTTAGAGTTGGTTTGGAGCAACAGCAGCTTCAGCCTGGCATTTCCTCTCCTTAAGAGGCAATTAAACTGCAAACTCACAGAGAGGTGCCAGATCTGGAGACCTCGTGGAAATCTGCAGGGGGAGGTTTCTGCAGTGACCTTTGTCTAATGATCTAATTAAGGGACACAAGCTCCCAGTGCTCTCTCTGTGGCTCAGCATGGTTCAGCAGGCAGCAGGATGGGCTCTGCACCCTGCTCCTGTTGTGCTGAGGGGTCAGGCTGCTGGCCTGCTGCTGTTCTGCTTCTGTGCTTTCCCTCGAGGATCAGCCCCATCCTTTCAAAACACTTTGAAAGCTCTAAGGAGCATTCCCACCCTTCCCACCTTTTTTTCAGCCATGGAGGAAAACCTCTCATAAGCAGTGTGAAGTCTAAGGGCTTCCTACTGTGGCACTCACCATGCTGACCTGCTTCAGGGCAGGATGTGGTGGCACTAAAGCCCAGCCTTGGTGGGTGCAAGAGTGCCTGAGACAGATTTCTTAGGGCTGAAACCAGTCAGGAACTGACAGTGGGAAAAGACAAGCAGGCAATGCTTCCTCACATTCAGAAATTTCTGACTTCAGTTAATCTCTGAGTTCAGCAGAAGCTGGGAACAAACAGTTTCTCCCAGAGGAATATTATTTCTAGTTAGCACAGGGTTGGGATCTTTCCTCTAAAAAAGGCAGGGCTCCCCAGTCCCTGGCAAGTTTGAAGCTAGAAACCATCAGTCTGGCAGAAACCCCTTGGCAAATCATGAATGCTCATGAGCTATCAAAGCTCTGCAAGGAAATGAATCTGCTCTGATTTATACCAGTGGGAAATCTAGCCTTTAATTTTAGTTCTTGAATTAGCAGTTGTTTTAATCACATGAATGCAGTCTGCCAGTTGTCAGGGCCACATATGCAAAATACAGAATTACTACTTCAGTGGAGCCCAAAAAATGTAACTTTTTTTTATTTCTAAAGCCTTTTTTGGGGGCTTATGGGGCATTAAGAAGAAAGTGTGAGGGAGAGTCATGCAACAAGCAAAGGGAAGCAGGAGCAGCCTTCTTCATCACTGCTTTGTGCAATTAGGGCACAACTGACAGGTCGTTCAGTATTAATTGGCCCCTTTGGAGCCTGAGCTTTATGAATGCTGTTACACAATGTGAGAGCAGTGGGCTCAAATCAATGACCCTGGCAGTCTCTTCCCCTCTGACAGCCACAGTTCCTACATAAACAGGGATTATTGGAGTGCTCCTGCTGGACTCTGGGGTGTCACACCAGGAGCGGGTTCAGCCACTCCTGTTCTGCACCCAGCAACAGGCAGGAACACTGAACACCAGGTCTGCCACACGTGGAGCTGTCTCTCTCAGAGGTGCCAGGGGGAGGTTTTCTCCACAAAATCTTCCATTGTACACTCTCACATCACTTTTCTGGTAGGGTTGAGTACACTGAGGCGTTTTGAACTTCATGTTACAGGTCCGGGGAATCCCTAGAGGAGACACTGCATCTCTGGAAAGGTCTGAAATGAGATTTCCCAGTCATTTCTGTCTGTAAGCCCAGGCAGTCAACACATCTGAGCAGTGCTGGTTTTCTGATATCCTCCTGCCCTCTTGCTCAAGCCATGCTGTGTGCTGTTGGCATTGCTCAAGCAAAGGAGAAAACAGAGCTGTCTTCCTCAGCAGAGACTGAACTCCTTTCTGTGAAGTTTGTTTTTCCCTGAATTTCTAGGATGACCTGTAAAGTAAAATGCAGTATGGTGCAGTAGAGGATGCTGCTGTATTAAGAATCCTCAGGCTGAAGTGGTGCCCAGAGAACAGAGAGAAGTGTTCATTCCTCCTCAGTGATTTCTCTCTTTGACCTTTGTTTCTCACTGCCTCTGTTACCTTTCTCCTCTCTCTCTCCCTCATGAAAGCAACAATCTGAAAGAGAGGGGGGCATGATTGATGTTCAGTGATCTTCAGCCTGGTTCATAGAGGATTCTTCAGCAATAAATTGGAGAAGAGCCTGTGCTCAGCTGTCACTGGCAGCAGCCAGGCTGGTTACAGCAGTGGGAGCAGGGGGAGCAGACGAGGACAGCTGAGTGTCAACCCATCTTAAGCTCTAGGAGAATGATCTCTACTCCATCCAGTGCACAGCTGCAGTTTGCCATGTCCCCTGTGCTCACCAGCTCTGCAGACAGACAGAGATTGGCCCCTTAATATGGAGTTAGGCTGTGCTTAACACAGGGTCTAGCATGAGGCGTGGTTTTAGACCAACTACCTCGAAGTGCATCGTAGATCTGATCCTTTGTTTGAAACATTAGTTTTGCATCTGGGGACTTTTTATCTATCTATCTATCTATCTATCTATCATCTATCTATCTATCTATCTATCATTTATTTATTTATTTATAGCAGCTCCCCACACTCTGGACGTTGCACCTCTCACTGCCGGCCGCCCAGCATGGACTCACCCCCTCGTTTGAGACATTAGTTTTGCATTTGGGGACTTTCTTTCTATCTATCTATCTATCTATCTATCTATCTATCTATCTATCTATCTATCTATCTATTTTTATTTATTTATAGCAGCTCCCCACGCTCCGGACGTGGCACCTCTCACTGCCGGCCGCCCAGCATGAACTCACCCCCGCACTCCTCCCTCCGGCATCCCCCCACCGTCCAAAGGCACCGAACACCGGTTGTATTTTTTTATTTAATTTCTCGTTACGTGCGTTTCAAACCTTGGAGGGATCCGTGCCTGGCTGCAGCACCGGCGAGCCCGCACGCTGTTCCTCGGCACCCGGCGGTGTCTCCCTCTCTGCTCCGCTCCCCGCCCCGGGGCTGACCCTCGGCAGGGATGCGCTCCCGGGTTTTTCCTCTCCCTGGGGGAAAAAGGGGCTGTTCTGCTTCGGGCACCTCTGTCAGCTGAAGGGGGCGGGAGCTGCAGCCTTGAAGTAGAAAAGGAAGAAGGAGAAGCAGCGGGGCGAGGATGAGCGGTGCCGGACAGCGGTGGGCGGTGGGCTGAGCCTCCCGGGCACCGCGGGCTGCGGGAGGAGGAGGAGGAGGCAGCAGAGGATGCGGCGGGGCAGGGATGCTGCGGCTGAGCACCCATCTGCCTAGGGAGAGCAGCATCGTCCTCCGAGGGCAAGGGAGAAAGTGGGGGGAAAGCGGCGGAGCTCTCTGAGCTCTGCCGGGGACTGCCCGCCTGACACCCCAGCAAAGTTTCCTGAGCTCGGTGACAAGAGGGGAGGAGGGATGTGAGATCCCCCTGCCCGCAGCGCGCAGCTGGGCTGCCAGCCCCGGTTCTGCTGGGACGAGCCATGGCTTTGGCATCCCCGAGCGAAGGGTGAGGCTGAGACCCCGGGCAGCCGCTCCCTCCAGCGCCTTCCCTGGCTCCGCGCTCCAGCCCAGGTAAGCGTCCTCCCCTTCCGCACACCCAGGCTCTCTCTGGCCCTGACAGAGACTTTCCCAGCAGTTTGCCCAGGAAAGAGAAAAAAAAAGTCTTGTGCTTCTCCTGGCAGCTGAATGTTGCGTGCCTGCGTGTTTGTGAGCCTGCCTGTGTGTGGGGTGGTTGTAGCTGTCTGACTGCAATTCCAGTTTGCTGATCACTGTCATTATTTTTCTGTGCCATCACACCTCTGGAAAGGGGACTCATCTGTGGTCTGTCAAATATTTTCATTGTGCTGCTGCACTGAGGCGGTGTGGAAGGATGACAGCTCAATTTCTCTCCACTACAACTAAGAGGGAAGCGTGCTTGGCTGTACATGCTGCTGGTGCTGCTGCTGTGGCTTTAAACAATGCTCCTAAAATGCTGGCTGAATATGTCAGCATGACCTTCAAGCTCTAGGAACTCTCAGAGATATGGGTGAAAGTCTGCCTTTGTCCCCCTGAGAGAACAGGGAGGGGTGGCTATTCCCCTGGAAGGAATCATTGTAGCCTCTGGATTTCCATCATGCCGGCTTGAGTGTGCAGCTTTTATTTTTGCACAGCAGTGCTTGCAGTAGTGCATTTCATGCTGAAATATTGTTTGTACAAGAAACCTACACTCTAACTGATAAGAAAAGAACCTGTTTCAAACAAAGAGCCCAAAGAGAACTTTTCCACTCCTGATGGAACAGAAGTTGGTCATCAGTTTTAATTAGAATAATTTGGCTGAAAAGTTGGTAATTTTTTAAGCCATTGATTTCACTGTAGTGAAAGGTAAAAGCTGCCAGATACCCTCAGGCAGGTCAGCAGTGGGAGCTGACCCACATCAGCCCATCCTTGTGCCTAAAAGGGGGTGGAGAAGCATCAGCCTGGGCTTTAGGAGATGACAGAAGAGCAGAGATGCTCCTGTTGTACATGACAATCAGAATAAAGAAGGACTTTATGTTGTCATGGGGCCTTGTTAGGTAGAGGATAGCGTAAGGCATTCTGTGGCTTTGGTTTCTTTTTTGCTTTATCCTCCACTGCTCTGTTGGCTTTCTCATCTGGTGGTCTAACAGGAATTCCTTGTGGGCAATCCCTGGTGTTTCAAATGGAGATGAGGACAAAAGCAACCACTGATCTACCTTCTGGGTGTTCCCAGTCCAAACATCTCTCTATACTGTGAGTTACCCTGTGGTGTGTGTGCAGATCACGTTCTGGAATTATGTTCTGCAATCATGCTTGAATTCCAAGATCTCCTGCCCCCAGCCTGATGGGAGAGGTTCCAGGCAGGAATCTCCAGTGATTCCATTGTTTTCTGCTGATAAAGATCCATTACCCCATGTAGATGCTGCAAGCAAAGGCAGGGGGAAAGAAGTTTTGCCTTGGACATAGCATAGCCAGAACACTTCTGGTGCAGCTGTAGAGAGGGTGTGACAAGCTTCAGCCCTTGTGCTCAGGGGTCTGTAATGATGAACAAAAATTGCCAGGCAGAGAAAATGAGCTATGAGGGACCATGCTGGGTGATCTCTCTGCAGCCTTGAAACCAGCCAGAAACCACAGGGTCTCTTTGGAGTGGCTACAGGTGCCCACTGACAGACGGGATGGGCAACAGGTTGAAGTTCCTCTTGAAAATCTCAGGGGCAGCCAGACCTCTGGTGATGCTTTGCCTAAGAGCAGAAGCAGCTGAGTGTTTAGTGTCCTGCTGGAGCCCAGCTGCCTGGCTCTTCCAGGAGGGAGAATTCCTTCAGACTGGAAGCAGGTGAGTGTGAGAAGCCAGGAGGAAGGAAGCTGATGGAGTGAATCTGTGATGTTTTTAAACCACGAGCAGCCACGCAGTTCCCTGGTGGGTATTTTACAGTGGGAGAATGTGGGGCAAACCAAGGGGAAGAGCCACACTGGGGTGTCTGCAGCCTCTGTGTGCTAAAGGTTTGGGCTGGTCTGCAAACAGTGCAAAAATGTGTTTTTAACCAGAAGAAATCTTGCTGCTGGTCCAGAGCTGGTGAAGGAGGCAGCATCAGGGCTCCAGCTCCCATCAGCATGCCAGGGTTCCCAGGCAGAACAAAAGGACACTGCTAGGCAAACATGGATGTGTGTTAGCCTGGCTGATGGAGAAAATGCCCTTTCTCTCTCACGCTCTCTCAGTATCCTGAAAAATCTCAGCCTGCTGAGACACCTCTCCCCAGCCAGGCATCCCCAGATGAGGAAGGATTTAATCCTGCCCCTGTCAGCTCCAGCTGCCTCACTGAATAGGAACTCTGCTGAAAGTTGACTGCTGCACACATACAGGTCTAAACAAAAGCCCAAGCCAAGGAAATGAGATATGACACCTGACAGAGCAGCAGAGAGTTTTGCCTCAGCTGGAGGTGCCAGAAAATTTTATAACCTAGGAAAGATGTTGGAAATGCCCGGCTGATCCCACTGGTGTGTGTCAGTGTGATGGGTGATGGCTTATTATTTGTTGTTGGTTTTTGTTTGTTTGTTTGGTGGTTTTGTTTGGGTTTTTGTGTTTTTGTTTGGTTTTGGGGGGTTGTTTTGTTTTGGTTTTGTTTGTTTTGGTTTTTGTTTAATTTAGTGGCTTCAGAGTGTTGATAGCACAACAGAGATCCTTGGCTCTTGCCATAGAAACTGAGTGGTATCAGTTTTTTGCTGACAACACTTTTGAAAGGGATTTGACAGGAGAGGAGGGAAGAAGCTAGGGAGCTAGGCAGGAGAGGAAGGAAGAGCAGACTGCTATTGTTTGCAATCTGGCTGGGAAGAGAAATGCTCTCCTGCCTGTAAAATCAAAGACATCACCAGCAAACTGCTGACAAATTGGCTTCTGGCAATTTGACTTCCCAGCAAGTACGGCAAACACAAATCCAGCTCTCATCACATCCAATAATCTCCTCCATGGAGAAGCTGCTACTGTCAGTCAGGGCTGTGTTACTGCCTTGGGTCCTAGACAGATCCCCACACAGGCTCTTTTTCAGCTTCAGCATCTCAGTTTCCATGAGCCTCCATCCTGGGGTTGATACTGCTCAAGGCTTGTTGAAGTTTGGGTTATGGCTGCTGAGGCAAGCAAGATTCCCAGTCCCCTTCTGTGGGGTCTCCTGTGATCACACCAAAGATGGTGAGATGCATGGTACAAAGCATGGTCTAGCTGACAAAACACCCACATTTGCTCCATTTTATTACAGACTTGTGTGACTGATGGCTTTTGTATCACTGAGCATCCAAGTCTTACCTGCTCGAGGGATCTCCAGGGTTGCCTCTGTGGTCAGCTCAGCCTCCCAGAACAGACATTTTTGGGGGATTCTCCGGGTCATCTTCTGGGACCTTTTATTCCCCACTGGCTGGAAAGGCAACCTGGATGGCTCATTTCAATTATTGGAGAACTGAGACGTGGAGCAAATTGTCCCCCTTTCTGCCACAACTGGGACCATTACCCATTCAAAAATACATCACCAGTACTGCAGTGAGGGGTGTTCGGGCAGTCCTGGACTCTGTTATTTTGGGTGGTGACAAACCCTGTGAGACCAGCTATGGCACAGGCTGTGGCCATGGCACACTCAGATTCACTTGGGCATCATCCACATGGAGAGCAAAGGACATGGAGCACACTGGGCTCAGTGCTCCAGCCTGAGAGTGACCACATGTGACCACCACAGTCAGGGTGGTCAAGTCAAGTTCAGCCTTGAAAGCAGGCTTGGATTTGGGCTTAGTTTCTGGCACAAGCAGATCCGGAGAAGATGCTGGTCACCAGGAATTGTGGGGGAAATGTGCTTTTGTTCATTGCCCTAATAGCTGCTTCTTCATTCCTCTCCAGGATTTCGAGGCAACAGGAGACTGGAAACAGCCTTCCCAACACAGCATTCACCCTGTGAGGACTGAGGTGACCTCCAAGACTCTTCCCAGCATGTTCAGTGAAAAGAGCAGCGCCTCTTTGCCCCAAAAACCCACCCAGAAGAAGACTCGACCCCAGGGCCTCCCCTCCCCTGCTCTCTGCTGTGCCTGTGGACTCTGCATCATGCTAGCAGGGATCAACATCACCTTAGTGGGAGCATTTGCCTTTGGGACCTTCCTCCCTGTGAACAACCCTCCCATCATCATCGGGCCCATCCTGCTGGTGGTGGCCTTCACGTTCTTCGGTGCCTGCTGCATCTGCAGCCGGAGGCCCCCGGCCCACGGGGCCAGGAAATCCAAACCAGGTTCTAACATTGGGCTCATCAAACCTGGCAACACAGCCTTTGAAATTGAAACCAGTGAGCACACGGTGCAGGACACCACTGCTGTCCAGCTGAGCCCCACCAATTCCCCCATCTCCTCCAAAAAGTCCACGCCGGTTCACGAGAACGCCAAGGCTTGCAAACTCTTCACCATGGAAGGCAACGGGCCAGTGGCCAAATACTCCACAGGGGGAGAGGCCATACAGCTCAACCTGCCCAGGGACCTGGCCACATCCTAAACCCGGGCAAAGCTTTTGTCAGCAGCCAGCCAAACGCTGCCATGGGTGGGCTGGAATTGTGCCATCAGTCAGAGGCGTGGGGAAGGTGCTTGTGGAAAGCCAGCAGTCAGTCAGGTCTCTCTGAACCACTTTAAGGGAGATGGATGCAACAGCAGAAAGAAAAATAACCCAGATTTTTTGCTGAAACATGCCCATTATACAGTTTTAAAAAGAAAACTGATAACGATGCTGCTGTGAAAAGATGATCTCGGTTCCTGGAAATACGCTGCCATTTTTGGGGAGCACACAGAAGAGGGGAATGAATTAATTTGTCTGATATAATGTGACAGTTGGAAGGAGAGGCTACATGGGACTGACAAATGACAGCTCTTTCTTCTCAGAAGTGAAGCAATTCTTGGACATAAAAGAAGCAGGAATGCAGTAAATTACAGCTTGCTGCCACTCAGTCACAAGAAGATTTCAGCATTTTTAGTGCCAGACTTTTTGGCAGTAGGGACAAAGCTATGTCTTTGCTACTGAAAAAGCAGTGTGAAACCATCTCTCCTCTGTTGAAAATTTTCGCCCTATCCTGCCCTCATTTGGGTGATTTTACTGCCCATTCGAAGAGAAGGAACCACAAGGATCACAATCAGCACTGGTATTTTCCTCTCATGTTAATGAGCTTGAGCTGCAGCTGTGCTACTCCTCTCAGTGTATTTCTTGGAAGATCAGTCAGGCTGGATCCTTGGGGATAAGCTCCTGGGGTAACCAGAGACTAACAGGAGCCTGCAAATTAAATTTTTGGGCCGTGATTATATATGGAGTACTAGGCAACATTCTTCGCATATTTTTGTGGAAGGCTGGCCTGGGACATGCCTCAGGGCAGGGGGTAGATGAGAGTATGGGCTTCAGAACAGCTGTGCTGGAAGATGGTGACTGTGAGATCCATTGCCCAGGAGTGGATCCTTGCTGCAGGAAATTGGCTGCTCAGGGTGCTCATGGGCTTGCAGAGCAGTGGGATGAGTTTGCAGAAGAGAATTTATCAAGAGCTGTTCCAAGCAAAATTCCAAGAGAATTTATCAAGAGCTGTTCCCTCTGCCTCAGAAAGACCCTAACCTGGTGGAATAATGCTGCAAAGGGTTTGTGTTCTTCTCTGGGGGACTCTGGCTGGGAGCACAGTGCTGTGCTGATGGGCTTTGCTCTGACTCCTGTTCAGTGTGGGGAAGGACAGCACTGCTAGGCAGGACTCGTATGTGGGGAGGCAGCACCAAGAGAGTGGATCTTGAGTAGGAATGGCTGCACAGGTTCCTCTGTTTATGGTAACTCTATATCTGAAATGAGGTTTTTGGTACTTTGAATGACAAGGAAATCATCTGGACCATACCACATCACTACAGGGGCCCAGCTAGCCCAGAATCCAGTTTCTGACCAGGCTGAGAGCAAGGTCTGGAGAGGAACATAAGGACAGGGGAAAACCAGGATGCTGCTTGCCAGAAGTGCTTTCCCAGCTTCCAATGTGCTATTGCTTAGGAGCTTCCTGAGCTGGAAGTGGTGCCTGTATGTAGCAGCCCTGAATGGATTTCTCCCCCATGAAATAATCCATTTGCACCTTGACTGTCTGTCAACTCCCATCATTTGTGATCCTGCAGCAGAGAGTTGCACACTTTGGCTTCTTTTCATCCTGCATCCTCCTACCTCCCTTTGATGGCTCAAATTCCCAGGTTAGAAGGGTCAGCAAACAGCCCATGGCCTCACCACCCCTCGGGTTTTCTGAGATGTTTTCCATGTCATGTTCCCTGCATCTCTCTCTTACAGAACTTTACATCTCCTGTAGCCAGAGGGGAGGAAACTCTTCCCATTCAGCCCAGCAGCAGCTGCTTGTTTGGCTGAGGACAGCACAGCCCTGAGGCTTTAGCCATCAGAAATCCATGTAGAGAGAGATGGGAGGGCTGAAGGGGAAGTGCTGGAGGAGAGAGAGGGGCTGTGGCATGGCCAAGGCTCCCCTTGGCCGCCAGGTACCTCTGTGGAGAGGCAGCCCTGTGGAGAGAAAAGCCCTGGTGCTGTACAGGCCATGCAGGAGGGGCCCTGGCTGCTCTGGGAGCCCCTGGGCAGCTCATGGTCCCTGCATGAGCCCAGCTAGGATGAGGTTGAAGTAATTCCTTGATAAAAGGTTAACCAAAGAGTTGTAATGTGAGTCCTTGAGCCCTCCAGCAGTTTGCTGCCTCCAACAGCTCCTTCTCCACATCTTGATTTTAGCAGGGTGGGTCTGCACTGATTAGGAGGAGAAGAGGCAGGTTTGGGAGGAGGGTGTTTGTGTAGGGCTGGGTATATGTGGGTTCAGGTCTTTGGTACAGCCTCCAGGTCCTGGGCAAGTCATTGATTTGAGCTGTGAGAGGGCAAACACCTGCTCCAGCTCCATGGAAAGCTGCTGTAGGGATGAGCATTGCCAAGGAGCAGGGCTGGCATTGGCACACCTGAATCTGGAGATTGCTCTGAGCTGGATGGGTCTGCACAGCCTGAGCCCTGTGGGATCTCCCTTAGTGCTCATTTTCTTGGGGAAGAAATGAGCACTTTCTGCCCCCAGCACGGCCCCAGGAATGCAGGAACTGCTGAGCTGAGGAAAGGCTCCCTCGAGTTTTGCCTGCCCATGAGTGCTGTAGCAATTAAGCAGAACAGCTTGCTGGTGTAGGCTTGATTCTCAGCTTGCTGGCCTCACTAGCATACAACAGCTTGGAATTCTTTTAGAGACATTTCCCGTGTGAATATGGTTATCTTTGAGCACTCGGAGCCAAAAAATTAGTAAAATCAAGTGATAACCACACAATTCCTTTCTTTGATTGCTGAAGTCCAGAAAGCCAGCACTGGAGAGCACCCTGGAATCACTCCTCATCACAGCTGCCCTGTGAAATGCTACCAGAGGTGGATAATGCAGTGCCTGACCAAGAGAGGACAACCAGCAGAGATGGTGTCTGGGCAGGCAGAGGGGCAGGAGCAGGGAGATGCTGATGCCCTGGTGAGGTGGGTGTGCCCACCAGTGATGCCCTGGTGAGGTGGGTGTGCCCCCAAGCTGTGACCCACACCTGCCTGCCCAGCACGGTGGCCATGAGAGCATCCTCTGCCTTCCTGCTCTTGCCTTCTTCAGTCTTTTGTAATTCCCATGTCTGTCTGTCTGCTCACCCCCATGGTCAGCTGTGCCTGATGTTGTGAATTTTGTGCCTCCTTGTGTAGTGGGAGATAAGGAGAGTTCCTGGTTCTCCAAGTCAGCATTTCTAGTGTGAGTCTTTTTATAAAAATTGCTGTTTCTGTGTGTGCAGTGTGGAATTTGGAAAAGAGAGACACATTAAAATAATTGCACTCAGAAAGCACTTGGCCTGTCTGCCTTTTCATTCTAACAGCCACCTCCTCCTGTATGCCCAGAGTGTGTGTGTGCCCCAATCCTGTCTGTGTGCATTTTGCCTCGTGCTCCTCACTCTCCTGCTTGTTTTCCCAGAGAGCACAAGCAGCTGCAAGGAAAAAGTGTCCCTAAGAATTCACATTACCTCTCAAATGCCACTTTTCCTTGAAAACCTGATTGCCTAAACACTAGTCCCACTGCACACTCCCACTATCATTGCTTTGACTAACAGGGCAATAACCAAATTCAGCCTTTTTCGGGTGTGTGTTTAACCCCCAGCTGGGCACCTGGACAGGCCAGATGTGAACTCTGGGCCTCTGGGATCTCAGGTACACAGGAGGAGCAGGGCTGTGGGCTGGGGTGGGTGAGGACTGTGGGCTGCTCTGATTCAGTGTCTCTGAATCAGAGGGGACTGCGCTGGATTATTTCAGCTGATCCTCGCCAGCCCTGGGTAGAGATGATATTTAATTTATGGTGCAGGGGAGGGAGCTGTACCTGTGTGTGCCTGTGTGTCTGGGATTGGTGCTGTCACCTTTCTGTGCCTGTTCTGGGCTTAGCCCAACATGGTCTCCTGGAGATGAGTCAAGGAGGGATGGCACAGGGAGAATAAAGAGGATTTGAGAGCCTTGCAAATTCACCTCGTCAAAGGGCTTCTCCTCCATGTGCAGCCAAGTGATTTGAGATGAGAGGAAATCTCTCCATTCCAGGCAGCCTGGCTGGTTAAAGACCTGAGAAATTAGCTGGCTGAGAAGGCTCCACTGACAATGTGTGTAAAATGAAAACCTTTTCCCTGCAGAAAGGTTTTTTATTTTTTTGGCCGTTAGGAAAAACTCCCTGGAAAGGTTTTTCCTTTTTAAAAGTGGGGCCAGAGAGAAAAGCACGGAGGAGAGTTTGCTGAGCATCCACTGCCATCCTCCTGGCCTTGCAGCCTGTAGCATTCCTGCCACAGCAGCTGCTCTGCACTAACCTCAGCTTCTCTTTCCATCTGGAAGAATAAACCAGAAACATTCTATGAAATGTAATTAGCATTTTCTTACTTCCAGCCCAAATTTATCTGTGGCTGGTTTATTTCCTTTTATCCTTGTACTAACAATGGCTTTTAACCAAGATACCTTTTAACCTCCTGGAAATTTTTATCCCTGAAATATTTTAGGTTTGCTGCAGGTCTCCTAGAGTTTTTCTTTCAATGGGCTGAGCTGGCTGATTCCTTCCATCCTTCCCTCCTGTGAAATGCTCACCTTTGCCCAGGAGCCCTTACTTCTCTCTGCCTTATTCCTCTGATTTTGATTGAGGAGCTCCATGAAAGCTCCTGCACAGCCATTCTTTTGCAGGACTCCCAAGTCCACAGCGAAGTACAAACCTTCCAGGTCTGTCTTGTGCAAGAAACTGGGCATTTTCCTTGCATAAGGAAAGGAAGAGGGGGAAAAAAAATCCCTGAAAGAGCAAAAACATCCATGAAAATGTGAAATTTCCATTTGCAGAGTCTCTCTGTTAAAAAAAAATAAAATGAGCTTTTATGTCATTAGTCTCTATTGAGTCCATGGCAAATGTGCTCAATTTAAGGGTTGAGAGGCTGTTTTTCTCACACTGTCAGATGCTGTCAGCTCAGCTGAGCTTTCAGCACTGGGAGAGACCCTCAGGCACTGCCAGCAGCCCCACCACAACCTGCTCTAGGGGAGGTTTGAGAATTTCTTTAAAACTCCAGGATTCCAGACTGATGACCCCAAGGAGCTCCCCCTTTGGGGTGGCCCTGCCACAAGTCCCCAGGGTGATGTGAAGCCCCAGCAGAGATCCATCCTCTCCAGCAGCACAGCCCTCTGAATGCACCAAGGACATGGGGCAGCTCCCTGCTGCTCTCTTGCACAGTTTGCTCTCACACACTTCCCAAGGAAGCCAGGAGCTTGGCTCCTTTAATTTTGAAATGAATTTGAAGGTCTTTGGAGATTGACCCCATGCAGTGGTGGCCAGCCTGGGGGTTTCTGCTGCCCCAGAGGGCTCCAGCAGGGAGGTGACCAGGGCTCAGCCGGGCTGCAGAAGGCAGCTGAGCCACCAGGGCTGGTCAGCAAGGATGGCTCCACACAGGCTCCTTCCCACACCTCTGGTCATCTCATTTACACAGCCTGGGCAGAGCAGATTTCACTGTTTCCACCAGCAGATCTCCTGCTACTCATCATCATCATCATCATCATCATGACCCTGAGGCTGTCCCTGCAGGACCTGCACACACTGAGCTGGTTTGGAGCCTCAGAGCACAGACAGTGTCAGCCTGGGAGGACAGATGATGTTTTTCAGGGCATTCACGCACACAGAGTCCCCAGGAGTTTTTCCAGGGAGCCCAAAGTCATCTGGAAATTTTGATTTCTTGAAATTGGCCTGTCCTGAGAATACACTGGTTCTCATGATGCTTTTGCCAGGAAATAAACTTCCCAGGTTCCAGATGAAATTTCCGATCCAAACGCTTGAGTGCTGCCCTATTACTCAATCCTCCAGGCACCCCTAAAAAAAGACCTTGCTGAACTCTGTCTCCACAAACTTCAAAGGCAGCTTGGGGACTACAGCTCCTTATCAGACCCCCTGTTTTCAATCAAATCCAAAAAGGCAGATTTCCCAGTGCTTCTAATGAGCCATGCCTCTGAGGATCTGTGTACCCTCCCCAAGACATCACAGTGGGTTTCTCCTGCTGAAATCTTCACTGGAGTTTCTCACATCCATCTGCTGTGACAGCAAATACAACTTCATACATAGTGCTCTGGCCTGGTGCCAGATGGATATTTGATGAAGTTATAAATTCAGACAGAAAAATTATTTCTTTTCCTGGTATGTAGGCAGAAAAGATGCTTCTTTTGGAGACAAATCCCTCTCTGTTGTTACCTTGGCATGAGAAATCAGTTTGATCTATAGTTCATCTTTTCATCTCCAGCTGAGCCAGGCAAACATGATGCTATCATTAGGAGCTGATCCTCCTTCCCCCATGGCAAGCAGCTGCTGCTTTTTCCCATTTGCTGTCTCCAGGTCTCTGCAGTCTCCATTTGGAGGCAGATTTTACATGTACAAACCCAGGGGATCTGGCTTCTGCAGCTCACTCAGGGGTGGGCACACCACTGCTGCCTGTACCCCAAGGCTGCTTGTGCAAATCAGTAGCCAGAGCTGTTTTCTGGGAGCCTTTCCCAGGGCCATGGAGTTCACTGGAGAAAAATAACCTTTATCTGGCAGCTACAGCTGCACCTGGGAGTGGCAGAGCTGTTTGCTCCAGAGAGGTGAGCCCAGGCAGCAGAGCACAGAAAGCTCCCTGAGGCTCCCTTTCCTGCTTCATCCCACGTGGTGTTCTACAAATGGCTTTGCTTTCTCATCCTTTGTCTGAAAACACCAACTGCCCCAAAACTTTTGCTGTGTTCTTGCTGGATAAATGGATTTTCATAGCCATAAACCTCTGGAAATCTCTCTGAATGTGGTCTGACACCATGCAGAATGTCCAGCAGCCCCCTCCATGCCCCTGGTGTTTTGCTGTGTGGGTGCCAGTAGGGCAGTTCCTGCTCTGGGTGAAGAGAATGACGACAGGTAAGAAAGGAAAATGAGGCACAAGGCTGAAAAGGAGGAGCTCAGCTTTTCCCAGGGTAAGAATAAACCCACAACTCTCAACATCTGCCACAACCCAGGGCCAGGACTCCCATGCCTTAATCCTGTGTTGTGTGGAGATCCACCTGCTCGTGTGGGCTGGCTTCCTTTTCCTGATTAAACCTCCAAATGCACCTTTTGGGTGGGCCAGATTCAGACACCCAATAAATGCACGTAGATTCCCTTGTTCAGGGCAGCAATCTCTGAGGGTCAGCAGCACAGAGATGGCTTTTCTCTGCAGGGAACTGAGGGATGAACTGACTGCATGATCCTGTTGGATGTTGTTCTCCTGACTCGATGCATTTCTCTGGCACAGGGCTGAATTTCCCAGCAGCTCTGGGCTACATATGTTTTCATAGAGCCTCATTAAATACATAGCTTCAGTTCTGAAAATCACATTTGTTCTAAATAAGAGCTGTCTGCTGGGAAAATTAATTCCTCTGACTTAAGTCACCTCCCTGGAAGTGATGCTGTTGTCTTCGATTTCATGGCTGGGATGATTACACTTTTCCAACACGCAAAAATAACGAGATTAGGGAATTTGTGGCAATGAAGGCAAAGAGGAGGAACTGGCGAACAAAAAAGAGAAGAGAAATTGAATTTTTCCTCTTAAAAGAAAAGGAAATGGCCTACTTCACAGAAACAGTTTTGCTTTGGGGAATAATAGTGGGGGAAACTCCTTTTGAACCAAAGTCTCTTATTAAACCCCTCAGGTTTGTTGCCACATTCAAAAAGCTTTGTGATAATGGTAGTAACTACCACCATTAGTTACCAGCCACCCATCAGCAAGGCTGGGGGTAACCCTCTGTCCCTGTGACACAGAGGAAAACCCAGGAGTGTGTTTTCCCTGAGGATTTAGGCAAGCTGACAGTGAGCCTGTGGGCTCTGGCAGGGCGTGGTTGGTGGAGGGGCAGTCCAGGATTATGGGGCAGTGGGAAGATGCCAGACCACACTTAACTGAACTTGTCAAAGAGCTTGCTGGTTGGGAACAAAGTTGTCAGAGCAACCTTTTACACAGGCAGATAGCGATAGAACAGGGTGGAAGTGGTTTTATAAGTCCTTTTAAAACTAAAAGAGGGGAGATTTAGATGTTAAGAAGCTATTCCTTACTCAGAAGGTGATGAGGAACAGGAACAGGTTGCTCAGGGAAGCTGTGGATGCCCCATCCCTGGAGGTGCTTGAGGCCAGGCTGGATGGAACCCTGAGCAACCCAGTGTGGTGGGTGGCCCATGGCAGCAGGGCTGGAACTGGCTGATGTTTAATGTCCCTTCCAGCCCAGCAGCTTCCATGATTCTATTCTGAAATGGGGCTGGTCTCTGCCTGTGCACACATGGCACACGTGGGCACCCCACG